AAATGAAAAGGGTCCCTAATTTTGTTCATGGGAGGCAGTCACCGGGCAGATTCCAAGGGCTGACGTATCGGCCCACCGAAAAGCACGCACAATTTAAATGTATTGTCTCACCGGTTCGTCTAACGTTGTTGAGTTTCATCTGCGAAAATGGTCGCCCCCAAAAGAGGCCCTGCCTTGATGTCTGTATTTCTCATCATCTGTGCAGGTTGGCTGCCACGTGTGTAGATAGTAAGGATATCCCCTGTGCGTCTTTTCATGCTTGTTTTCGCTTGTTTCATTGCGCGTGCCCATGAAGGGAACATTTGGCAAGGTGATTTGATGCTATCATCTGGGCGCGGTGGCACGTGTCTGCTTCAGCGCTCGGTTGTAACAAAAATAAGTGCTCTGTTACGATAATATTATGCATCTTGATATGTCTATTAAACTCTAGATCGCAGGGGGAATACGTTGTGCTTCAGTGTAGCGTCTTTTTTCGCGTTCGAGCTGCTCGGCGGCACAGAACAACTTTGCGGCATTATACCACTAAAAAACCGTCTGCCACGCATGCGCACACCAAAGAATCGTACTCGATCACAGGAATCGTGAGGCAACTACCCCTCACACACGATCGCACCCCAAAAAAAGCACGAGAAAGCACACGGACAACGCACTAATCCTCACACAACCACACTGAAACACGAAGTGCCATCCGCTTTTACAGGTGGAGGATCAGCACATTCCCCAAAAAAGCGGCCGAAACTGTCAACTCTGCTCAGACGTGCTCGCCCATGACGGCAAGGCGACGCAGCAAGCCGCATTTGTTTTTTATCCAGTGGCCGTGGTATGGGTTAGAATGGTGACAATAATCGAAAGCTACCGTCCAATCGAGCATTTCGTGTTGAAGTCGAAGCTATTATATCTCGAACATCTGTTAAGGAAAAGTAGCGCTGCAAGGTGGAGTACCGACTTGTGCTCTTTATTATAAAAAAGAATTCTTTGTGCCTGTTCCATCCTACGCAATATGTTTCACTGCACATATGTTGACAATGTACACGCAGTTTCTTTAATTGTGCAACCTTTAGGGTGTTAATGTCAGTTAGAAGTGTGGCAGTTTGGGCTAGTTGGTATGACATGACAATAGTTATAGTGTGAGAATAGAACGACGACAAAAGGACATGAAGGAGAGTTGGGCTTAGTTGGTATGACATGACAATAGTTATAGCGCGAGAATAGAACGACGACAAAGAGACACGAAGTCTCCTTCATGTCCTTTGTCGTCATTCTATTCTCGCGCTACAACTATCGTTAATGTCAGGTTCAGTTAGGTTTAACAAGGTCCCTCAATAGGGAGAAGAAAATGAGTGTAAGTTGAACGCACAAAAAAGCACTTGCATCTTATTCTGCAGAAAAGATAGTTTTCATCCTACTCTTGGCATCAACGTGCATTGTCAGCATCTGCCTGTAGAAAATGAGCATAAGTTTCTGCGCCTAATATCAGACACCAAACTTGCATTCATACCACACATCAAGTGCATTAAACACAAGTATTTAAAAACCATGAATATTCTGAAAGTGTTGTTGCAAGCTATGTGGGGTGGCGACAAGAAAGGCCTTCTCAATTTTTATAAAAGCCTCATTCATATTCACTTAGACTACGTGGCCATTGTTTATCAGTCCTGCGACACCAAGTGCCTTGAAGATGCTGGATCATGTGTACCATTGGGCATTAGCCTTTCTACGGTTGCTTTTTGCTCTAGTCCCGTAGAAAGCCTCTACATAGAATCAAATTAGTGGTCACCCCATCTAAAGAAATTACATGTATTTTGTATATCATCTCATGGTGAACACGGACCTCTGAAAAGGAATGCGCTGCCTCGTGTGGGCCATTCAAAAGCTAGCCTGTTATGTGTTCGATTCGAGGTTTGTGGTCGATTTTGTATATTATCTCATGGTGAACACAGACAAGGAACACCAATCTCACCCCACAATCAATGGTTTCATTCAGGTTCTTCTTTGTTCGACCACTGTCCCTCGTTGAGACAGCCCTATTCACTTCATGTGAGGTGCCTCGCTGAGGAAACAGGTGTGTCACTTCTTGCACACTCTTTGATGGCTCCCACTGCATATCTGCCGTCGTGATGATGGCAGTTCATAGACTGCGATGTATCTTTCGGGGAGTTCCTAAGAACATAACTATTTCTCCCCTCCGTATATACTTCCTTGAACTCCAGCATAAGTAAAGACGTACAGAATTCTTTAACCATGCCACAAAGTCTAAGGACACTTCTGTATTCTATGCTGTACCCATCCTTTTATATGGCTCTCTGCACGGTAACACAAGCATTTTCAGAGCAGAGGCATATGCAGTATTTGCGGCCTTCAAACACAATAAACATTTAATACTATGAAGTACAGTAATATATTACAATGATTCCATCAATAGGGTAAAAACCCTCAAAACGCTGAAAAAAACACAAAAACCATGTCATTGTCTTGCTCTACTCACTCATATGCATGGTCTACACACAAAAACAGCATGCTGTAGTGTGCTGGGGCACTGCAGTATCAAAGGCACACCGCACAGCAGTAACATTTCCAGGCTGAGAACAGGCAGACACACACTACACACTCATACCTTTTGTTTGTTGGGGATTCAACATTGTGTGAGAGATGTGATGAAGCACTAACAGTGGTTCACACTGTAATCTAGTGTAAAGAGTTGGAAATGTTTAAAAAAAATAAATCACTTTGCATTACCTTACTGGCAGCAAATACCGTTTCACCCTTCAGTGTTCATCAGTAGGAATCCACTTTTCAAGCATGAATCATTGTTTGCATTCTTAAAAGATGTGTATAGTTTTCATATGATATACCCAGGCAGTCCGTAACATGACCCCTGAATACAGGTTGCTGCTGCAGTAGCGACAATAAAGAAAGCACCTGCCTCGCAGCCCTTGGGCTCGAGGGCATTCAAGAGGCACTTGTGCTAATGTGAAATATATCCATCATAGTTTTATTGTCACGAACATTCGCCATGCATTCTAACTACACACACATTTCACATCACTTTCATGGTTCTCATAGTTGTGCATATTGGCCACCTTAGCATGCAGAATTTTAAGGCTCCTGTACAGCCACTTACCATAATCACTGTCCACATCTCTTGACCCATGACCTGCCACTCTTTAGCCATCAAACTAAAACACCAAGCATCATCATTGTGACAATCCTTGTCACATTACAAATAGCTATAATTTAAAATGAGTCCATTCTGGCAGTCCAGCAGTGTACTGCTAACTATTGCTAAATTGAAGCAGTGGCAGCATATCTGAACCTAGAAAAGTATACAAAGATACTATGATTAGCACGATACCATGATATCTTCCTATCGTGGTGTTTCAAGCTTAGCACTATGTGAATATGCGGTGGCTGCTTTCTGCAAACAGACTGTATTGTATGTGGCACTAAGAAATGTCGCTATTTTTCTGTTGGCATGGTGTCGCGCATCGCACCACAGCATGAGTCAATTCATAATGCTCTTCTTGCTTTCAGTGCCTGTACCCTGTTATTCACAGTGCACTTTACTTGCTTTTTGCAACATTTCTAGATTAGTGAAGTAAATCTGCAAAGCATGCAGTGCAAGTGTGAGTCTGTTGAATGCAAGGTGCATACTTCTGAAGCTTATTGGGAAGCTTCCTATCATTTTGCAGGAGTTGTCTCAAAATATGACTTCAGTAAAAGCTCGTTAATTCGAACTTGTATGGCACTATAAAAATGTTTGAATTGAGCAGAGTTCGTATTAGAGACAGAGTTGCAATGAACGGACATCGCACCACACTCCCAAAGATGCCACCTCTAGACTCATTGATTTGATTGATTGATTGATTGCTTCATATGTGGGGTTTAACATTTTAAAACCACCATATAAATAGAGAGACGCCGTAGTGAAGGGCTCCGGAAATTTTGGACTACCTGGGGTTCTTTAACGTGCACCCAAATCTGAGCACACGGGCCTACAACATTTCCGCCTCCAACGGAAATGCAGCCGCGGCAGCCGGGATTTGAACCCGTGACCTGCGGGTCAGCAGCCGAGTACCTTAGCCACTAAAACACCGCGGTGGGGCTCTAGACTCATTATCATTAACTAGATGCTATTACATGTTTGTGGCAGGGAATTTCGTAAATTAAACCAAATGGAGCTCTAACAGTGAAACGCAATTGATCAATGTATAATACATGGTAAAGAAGCACCGACACACGCATTCGTTTAAGCGGTGAGCCTTAATGTGAAATATATTATTCTATTTATACTCCAAAACGCATTTTTTTACATACAGGGGTTAATGCAAAGAAAATTAATGTAATCAGTCATTTTCTTTTGCTTGTGTTTTTTCTGTTGCGACTTCATGAGCATAATCCGCAGCTTGCCCAAAAGAGCTCCACCGCAGTGTCCGAATTCTTGTGTGCTGAGAAATGTTGCTGTTTCGTTGTTTTACATCTCTAGTAAATTTGGTTTGGTTTGGTGTTGCAACACTTTGTGATTTCTTTCGGCCAACTGCTGCAGAGAGCAATAAAAACCATGAGCTCCCAGTTAGAATTGATCATTGTGGATACCAACGTGTTTAAATATTCAAAAGTTTTTTTCCATTGAAATGCACAGGACTGTTCTGGGAGCTAGGCGTCAGTTTGAATTAACTGTTAACGATTAATTTCCAGGGAACTCTATACAATGAGCTCTTTAAGTTTTTATTAGCCACCATGTGCTCTTTCAAAGTAATTTAAACCTACGTTGAGGTTGATTAGAATCTGCAGTTGTTTTTTTGTTGTGAAAGTAGAGTAATTAAACTTGTAAAAGCAAATAAAAACAATAGATATGTAATTTTGGAAACAAACTTGCATTTTTCAACTCGCATCTCACCTTAATATTCAAAGCATTTGCTGGCAAATGTTTTACATTTACTGCTTTTCCTTCAGTACCTAATTTATAGGCCAGTGCAAAATATTTCTCTTTCATGCTTCAGACAAGCGCTCGAGGAGATAGCTGCTGTCTTCCGAACACTCTACCATCGACCCTGGGAATCCAAGCATTCGGATGACGAGGTAAAACACTTGGCAAGCCAGTTTCTTTAAAAAGTGCCTTTTTTTTCTTTCTTTCTTTGAAAATGTCAGTGTGCCTGGCACTGCTGTTTGGTGTTAAATGTGAAAGGCTATTGCAGAAAGAAAAAAAGGGGGAGGGCAAGTGTGGCACTTTTGTATTATTGCAGAGTCACAATCCAACATTTTAAAATGTATTGTCGCACTCCCAATTCGGTATGAATATATATGGAGTAGCCACATTGCAAATGTAGAATAGCATATGATAATACTAGTGGGATTCAGCCTTGAAAAATTCATGCTTGGCAAGCTAATATTAGAAAGCATGTCAGCAGTGTCCTTCAGCAGTGTGTATGTTCTCCTTCAAAATTTCCGGCTGTTTATCAGAGTGTCTACTAACCTAGAATACCTGGAAAAGTCGGGGAATTCGGGCCCTTTTGGAATGTCATGGAATTTCTGCAAAACCTGGCCAGGTCATGGAAACTGACGGCAGTCTGTGCAACGATCACAAAATTAAGCATTATCATATATCAAAGCTTAAAAAGTCGCACCTTTGGTAGCAACTACTAATCATGAACCTTTCTATTTTGAATTAATCATAATAAACTTAACTGAACTAAACAGTCAGAAGAGGCCTGAAATAAAATGAAAGTGGCTGATCTTCCTATATAGGAATCGGGTATAACACAAAAGTGAAATGTGTTTTTACAGCGGTAGTTGAGCGTTTATTGTGCATTGTTTAAGGAACAGCAACAAATTGCTAAGTCACATTAAAGAGACGCTAAAGTCAAATAACAATTAACATCAGAATGAAATCTCAATGTAACGTCTAAAACAACAATATTATCAACAGCAGTGCCCTACTTACCAAGAAATAAAATAAATTCTCAAGAATACATGTGTCCCATTAGGACATTGTCAAAATGATCCCAATGACACCAGACGAAGTGCCTACAATTAATCTGTAGTAATCGAACTAGGTGCACTGAATGAAGAACCTTCTGTGTAACAAGAGACATAATAAAATGCTACTTGTTCGTTTCTGTTTCATTCGTGAAAAGAAGAACCGTCCGACGTTATTATGGAGAATGGCGCAAGTAGTTCAAAATTTCATTTTTTTTGTATGGTTAAACTGGACAGGTCGTGCCATCTAGCAAAGCCCAGTTGAACCAATGTTTGCCATCTCTGAGGGAATGGCAGGAAATTGTTAAATTGCCGTTGTTGCCGCTGTGGCTCACGCTGCTTTCGTTCTGCTGGCACTAGTGTTTGCGGCCGCGCAGTACAGCCGGCTAACGTTGTGCATGGCAACAGTGACGTGAGATGTTCCATTTAGGCGGTTAAATTGAAGTGTGTGAACTTGATGTGTACCATTAAAACATGATTTTATTTCACAATAAGCACTTCTTTGGCACAAAAGTAACAATACAAGGTTTATGGACCACCATTTCAACAATCAACGTCAACCTAATAGTAGCCTTTAGTGTCTCTTTAAGAATGCCAAGTAGCTCGAAACTTGCAGCGCGCACCTCAAGCAGAAAGAATGCATGAATTAGCATACACAGGACGAGCACCGACTAACAATTGTCACAGCTCAGCACTTAAAGCGCGCTGTTCAAACGGAAAGAAAGATGCACGAATCAAGCGCACAAGTAGTGTACACAGGACAAGTGTGAATGACTATCACAATTCTTCTTCCATCGTGTGTCAGCAGCGCGCTCCTTTTTTAAATGCGGCCAAGCAGCGTGCGAAGTGATCTTCGTCCTATTCCGAATTAGGAGTCTGATAAGCGCCCCCACAAGAAAGACTACCCTGGGTAAAGGTGGCGCTTCGTGGAGGCGACCTTTAGAGTGCGCTTAACGCGAGCCCGCCATGCCATCTCGCCACTGATAAGAAAAACGCACTAAAGTTTTGAAGCTCTGAGGACTGCCAAATGGTGTACGGGGTATATAAATGGCTTGCCATAAGCATTACAGGCAACGTACACTATGTGGTGCAGTGACTAGTGCTGCACGCTGAGAAACAAAAGGTTGCCGGTTCAATTCCGTGTGACAAATGCCTGCTTTCTAGCTTTTTTTCTTTGCAGTCTCAGTATATTTTTCAGCGTCACTTCCGTAACGGAAGTATGTCAGTGGAGCCATGGTGGATTTCAGCAGAAACACTTTCGTGCTAAACAAGGCAGTGCATAACTGTTGCTTCTTAGTGTAAATGTTAAAATATACACCTACCAAAAGAACACAAAGTTTACTGATGTTCCCCACTTGGTACGGGAGCCTTGTTCACAATAAAGCCATATGAAAGGCACAGCGTTTTTAGGTATGCCTAAGTATGTGACATAAGCACTGAGAGTACATTGTCGGAAGCGTTTTATCACTCTTGTTCAGCATATGTGCACTCGTCTATATGTTCAGGGATTCAAAGTGCAGGCATGATGCAAGCTTTTCTTTGGCTTGAACATGTGCGCTTGACCAGTCAATCTGGGGGCTTGTAGATTTCACATTTTTATTGAGGGCATTCAAGACCATGTATTGTTTCGTGGTGTCACATTCGTGTCGTTTAACAAGGTTTTTTTTAAGCTTACCGGTCTCATCAATGTACTACACTATGTTTAGTGAGGACATTCAAGACCACGTGTCGTTTCGTGACATCATATTCATGTCGTTTAGCTCTTTTCTTGAAATCATCGGTCTCGCTGATGTGCTATGTTTAGCGAGAGCATTCAAGACCATGCATCGTTTTGTGGCGTCAAATTCGTGTTGTTTAACCCTTTTTCTTGAAATCATCGGCCTTACCGATGTACTATGTTCAGTGGGGGCATTCAAGACCATGCGTCATTTCATTAGGTCATATTCGTGTTGTTTAACTCTATTCTTGAAATCATCAGTCTCACTGATGTACTGGTTGTCACAATCATGGTAGCTTATGACGTAAACAAGGCGGGGAAAATTTTCGCTCAACAACTTTTGACTAAAGCATTCCTCAGCTTCCATGTTGGTACATGCATTATTTCAACATCTGTTGCTTTACATATCACACAGCATATCTGACTTTTGAACCACAACATTACTCACTAGTTGGTAAATTTGTGCATGTTTGTCTTGACCACAATTTCAGCCTGGCTTGGGTTAGGCCAGAATTGCCATCAGCAGAGGCTTGCCGGACTATATCATGCTGTTTGTTATTAGTAGTATTACTATTATTATTATTGGCATGAAATGGCGAATGTCCTCAGCTACGCACTTATTGCAAGTAGCTTGCATTTCAAAGATAGCATTGGGTAACTTCAGCTAAAGTTCTCATTTCTGTTCTTTGAGATGGTGTTATTAAATCTGTTATTATTTTTAGTGTCACGTCCATAAAAGAGTACTTGAACGAAGGTTAACATGCTGGCATTCGTGATTCATCTATGAAATCGAGGAAGACGTTGCGACCCAACAGATTCATTCTTGCCACCACATATTCAACGTCAGCACTTTAAACGCTACCCCCTGCTTTCATTGCAGGCATCTGAGGACTTTTGTCACTCTCCAAGCAATCGTAGTCTAGCGAACATGCATCTACTCATAAAAAAAAAATTGCAATACAGCTTTGTTCTTGCGACAGCAATCCAGGGTGGATCAGATCAAATCTAATCCATATCCTGAAAAGTAAAATCACTTCAATAAATACAGTACCTAGTCCAGGTTGATCTAATTCAATCCAATCCACATTCTAAGTGGTCTGGGCATATACTCCAGTGGCAGAAGTGGTCGCAGCTCCCACGTCCTTCTTTTACACGGATGGCACGATATGGCGGCACTTCTGACCACATGTGTGCCTTGTAGCCTGTTTGGCTTATTCATGCGGCACTGTGTCCTCTCCCAGTGAAGGGAGAGGGGAGCACAGCTTTGCACAGCCACGTGCCTTCTCACTCTGTATAAGGAGAGGGCGTGGCACAGCATCAAAAGCCATGCGCTGAGATGCTGCCAACGTGCATGTGTGGTAGGCCTCGTTTCGTAAGAGCTTTGGCTGCGTTGTTGGACCATCATTGGCTCCTTCAAGCTTTCAGCTGTGGTTGACTTCAACTCGTATGTTTTTTTACTGATTCTTCCAAATATAAACAGCCAAGTATTTCACTTCCTGTCTCAGAGGTTTTACTTTGGCCAGATGTAGATATTTTTTCAAATTTATCGCATACGTTGAGAACATTCTGAGCGTGTGTGGTAAAAATGTTTACTTATTTTATATGAATGCTTGATTTTTTTTTACCCCTCAAGGGTTTGCTTCCAGTGCACAGAGTTTTCAAGCAGAGGCGACAGTCAAAAAATTTGCTTTTACTAATCATCATAGAAAACCTGCAAAAGTCAGAAAGTTTGTAAAAATCAAATTGGTAGATACACCCTGTTTATGTAGCATAATTTAATTGAAAGGCTCTGCATGTGAATGCTTGTCTTCATTATTTATCCTTCGCACCACCACTCGCGAGTTTTTTTCTCAAAATGAAGTGAACAGGAGCGCAGAAACCAGCACAGTGTAAACACAGACTGTAAACAGGCCAGACTCGGTCAGTTTTTAGAGTGCTGCTTTTCTGCGAATTCTCACAGATATGAAAATCTAGTGAAGCACACCGCAGCCAGTACAGCCCTGCCCGGTACACTTCTCTGGTGTGCCATCGCTGCTGTGTATAATCAGGAAAAGCATAGTCTAAGTCATTTTTTCATGGTACACTGCTGCTTTGATGAACAGTGCCTACACAGAAAAAAACACATGCTCAGTGAACGAGTGACACCTTAAATTCACACGAGTATAATGAAGTTCTTTCGAAGCATCAAGAACTCCTGCAGTTTTATGAACAATGGCAACTGTGAAAAATTTTTTGCATATGGCCATGCTACCCACAATGTTAACATGCTTTGAGGTAAGCATGCTCGATATGCCTTAAACAAAATTTATTTTCGAAAATTCGGTGTGTGCACATTACAATGACAAGCACCTGAGAGAGCTTAATAATTTTTTCTGCAAGTAATCTG